TCATATTTTATTAATGTAATAGAAAACTGTGACAGGTTAAGGTGCAAAGATTGCTGGTGTTGGGATCTGGCTGCAAAAACAAATTAAGAGCAATTGTGATAAACAATCACCATACACAGAGTACAGTTCTGACAGGTTCAGCCTCAATCAGTCAGTCGATCCCAGAAGTTACAGTGGAACCTTCCCTAACTTCTCCCCATTTTAAACTTACTTTTATACTGTTTTTGTGCTAGTTACTCTGCTTTTACTAGAGTAACTCTAGTCATGCATCATGTCCAGTGCGGGGTAGTTGTACCCTGCAGGTGGGTATCACACCTGAGGTAGCCTCTGGGATGGAGGTGGGCATTTGTGATCTTGCCTCAGTAGCTGGCTCAGCAGCAAGGCATGTCCTTCTTCCCCTTGTTTTTCAGCTGCTATGCAGTTTATCTGCACCACTGAATTCCCCCTCTTGCCAGGATTTCAACAGAGCCTGGCCCTGGCGTCTCCACTCTACCCTCCCTTCAGTCCCCTTTAGCATGGATTGTGTGTGGGAAGTTGGGCATGCTGACCACATCCCACCCAGGGAGTCGTAACTGCACTTCACCCTCTGTTTCCTGTACTAATTCTGCTAGAATGTGAATGTAACTCTCTGGTTTTCTCTGATTTCACCCCAAGTCATTTTCCTGCTGCAATGTATTTGCAAGGGTTAGGCCATGGTGTGCACCAGCCAGCCTGCTTCTGAGTTAGTTATCAAAGCCTCAGGAATTCATCAAGGCTACTGAAACATAAACTGTGCTAAAGCAAGAAAGAAGAGGCTTCTCTCCCTTCCCACCACCGGGAACCAGCGCTTCTCTCCCTTCCCACCACCGGGAACCAGCGCTTCTCTCCCTTCCCACCACCGGGAACCAGCGCTTCTCTCCCTTCCCACCACCGGGAACCAGCGCTTCTCTCCCTTCCCACCACCGGGAACCAGCGCTTCTCTCCCTTCCCACCACCGGGAACCAGCGCTTCTCTCCCTTCCCACCACCGGGAACCAGCGCTTCTCTCCCTTCCCACCACCGGGAACCAGCGCTTCTCTCCCTTCCCACCACCGGGAACCAGCGCTTCTCTCCCTTCCCACCACCGGGAACCAGCGCTTCTCTCCCTTCCCACCACCGGGAACCAGCGCTTCTCTCCCTTCCCACCACCGGGAACCAGCGCTTCTCTCCCTTCCCACCACCGGGAACCAGCGCTTCTCTCCCTTCCCACCACCGGGAACCAGCGCTTCTCTCCCTTCCCACCACCGGGAACCAGCGCTTCTCTCCCTTCCCACCACCGGGAACCAGCGCCTCTCTCCCTTCCAACCACCGGGAACCAGCGCTTCTCTCCCTTCCCACCACCGGGAACCAGCGCCTCTCTCCCTTCCAACCACCGGGAACCAGCGCTTCTCTCCCTTCCCACCACCGGGAACCAGCGCTTCTCCCCTACCCCCCACCTCACCCCTTACCTGCTCCCCCTGGAGTCCCCCGGTCCCCGCGGCGGCAGCCGCCGCCGCTTTCCGCTTCCTGCTAACTGTTTTCCGCGCCATAATAGAAGGATGAGGACGATGTGGACGAGGAGCGGCCCCACATGGAGCGGGACGGGGCGGTTCGGGGCATATGGAGCGGGACCGGGCCCAGCCTCTGTCCCTCAGGCCCCGCCGGCCGCGCCTCACGGCATTTTACAACACCACGGGGTTTCGGTTTTTTTGTCTTTTTACGACAGTCGAGTCGCAGCTTTGCGGCGGCGGTTCCACCCCGCCCAGGTACCCCGTTGCCTAGCAACCGGATGGCAAGCTGGCCCCGCCCTCTCGGCCGTTGCCATGGCAGCAGAACCAGCGTGGTGGGGGTGTGGCTCCCCTAGCGGCGAGGCGGGCTCAGTACAAGCGGGGGATTCGGGAATCCTTCCCAGGAAACGGAGGTTTCCCCAAACCATCCGTGTTTGATCAGACTGTCAGAGCCCCAGAAAAGCCGAGACACTTGTGCCCGACCAGTCCGTCAGAGTTCCCACAAAGGGGACAGAATCAGAGGATCAGTTAGGTTGGAAAGGGCCTGTAAGCTCACTCAGTCCATCCTGTGAGTGAACACCACCCTGTCAACCTGACTGGCACTGAGTGCCATGTCCAGGATTTCCCTAAAAGATCTCCAGAACGGTGACTCCTCCACCTGAGCAGCTCATTACCCAAGTCTAATCACCCATTCGGTGAAGAAATTCTTCCTATTGTCCAGCTCCTCACTGAATAATCTGCTAGATGAGAAGGTGGTTGAGCTGACTTTTTCAGTCACATGGAAACACAAAAACCCCTTTGAGGGTTTCTACACACCTTTAGCTGGTCTTTTGGCACCCCAGGAAAGATCCAGGAATGCACACCAAAAACATTAGAGAGACACTCTTCACAGCTGAACACTCAAGTGTTCAGTTTTACGCGCTGTTAATGCTCTTGAAGGATTCACACCTTGAAGGACAGCTTACAGAACATTCATATTTTATTAATGTAATAGAAAACTGTGACAGGTTAAGGTGCAAAGATTGCTGGTGTTGGGATCTGGCTGCAAAAACAAATTAAGAGCAATTGTGATAAACAATCACCATACACAGAGTACAGTTCTGACAGGTTCAGCCTCAATCAGTCAGTCGATCCCAGAAGTTACAGTGGAACCTTCCCTAACTTCTCCCCATTTTTAACTTACTTTTATACTGTTTTTGTGCTAGTTACTCTGCTTTTACTAGAGTAACTCTAGTCATGCATCATGTCCAGTGCGGGGTAGTTGTACCCTGCAGGTGGGTATCACACCTGAGGTAGCCTCTGGGATGGAGGTGGGCATTTGTGATCTTGCCTCAGTAGCTGGCTCAGCAGCAAGGCATGTCCTTCTTCCCCTTGTTTTTCAGCTGCTATGCAGTTTATCTGCACCACTGAATTCCCCCTCTTGCCAGGATTTCAACAGAGCCTGGCCCTGGCGTCTCCACTCTACCCTCCCTTCAGTCCCCTTTAGCATGGCATAGATTGTGTGTGGGAAGTTGGGCATGCTGACCACATCCCACCCAGGGAGTAACTGCACTTCACCCTCTGTTTCCTGCACTAATTCTGCTAGAATGTGAATGTAACTCTCTGGTTTTCTCTGATTTCACCACAAGTCATTTTCCTGCTGCAATGTATTTGCAAGGGTTAGGCCACGGTGTGCACCAGCCAGCCTGCTTCTGAGTTAGTTATCAAAGCCTCAGGAATTCATCAAGGCTACTGAAACATAAACTGTGCTAAAGTAAGAAAGAAGAGTCTGAGAAACCAAATACCAAGACCACAAGGACTAGATAACAGGACTGTGAAACACCTGGACTGTAGCCAATAGCACGCTCTGAGGAGTGCAGGCGGAAAACAAGGGAACAAGACAAGGGCACCAATCAAGCAGTGTGTACTCAGCAGTTTGTAGAATCTATAGATATGTGTGTAATGTAAACAATAAACGGCTTCTCCTTAATCATGTTGGTTAGTTGTCCAGGAGTCCTGAGTTTCCCACACTTCCCCACACATTCCACCTGGGACATCACTTACTGCTGGGGAATTAAAGAGATAACATTTGTATGTATTTGCATTTCATGGTACCCCTTGGAGGTCGTGTGGAAGGATGAGTGCTTTTTCTGATGTCCACATGGCTCATCCACTCTTCTTCTGTGATTTCAGAGGCAAAGCTTCATATGATCCAAAACCAGCAGTCACTACTTGCCAGTGGTATTGCTGAGCAGTGAAACAAGGAAAACATGTGACATGTAGGCTGGCTTTAGGAAAAAGCCAGCTTCTGATCACCAGATATCTGATGGTGCCTCAAGTCACATGGAATCAGCACACATTTTCCTGATACAGCATTGGTTTTATGACCTTTATTCTGTTTTCATCCAACCAACCCCACAGACAAGGGTGCTGTGAGAAGCCAAACTGAAAAAGAAACCGTAAAAGAACCTCTCAGGCTTTCCAGTGTCCTCTGAGGATCCAAGCAGTAATTCCAGTTTGGCCGTTTTCAGTGGTGATTTACCATGACTAACTCCTCTCTCTGTATCCACCCTCACATACAAAACTACCACATCCATTTGGGACAAAACCCCTCCAATTCAGAACAAGGACGGCTCAAAAGGCTGAAAACCCATCGGGAATGTCGTGGTTGCTGAGGGAAGGGGCTGAAGGTGCGGGATGGAATGGCCTCTCTGTGTCCCCAGAGAGGACACCTGCATCCAGCCCCTTGGAAGCCCTGGCACGATCACAGCTGGGACAGGGGCGGGAGGCGCTGCAGGAGCTCCCGGGCAGGGCAGGAGCTGGGAACAGAAGCAGCGACGGGACAGGTAAAGGGACAGTGACAGAGACAAGGGCAGGGACAGAGGTGGCACAGGGAATGGGGCGGGGGCCGGCAAAGGGACAGGGACAGGAGCAGCAACAGGTGCAGGGAGGGGACAGGACAGGGACGGGGATGGAACAGGCAAGGGCAGGGACAGGGGCTGGGACAGCGATGGAACAGGGCACAGTGAGGGACGCAACACGGACAGCGGCTGGTAAGGGGATGGAACAGGGGCAGCGATGGGACAGGGTCAGCAGCTGGCAAAGGCAGGCGACAGCGACGGGAACGGGGACACGGGCACGGACGGGGACACGGGCACAGAGGGGACATGGCACGGAGGGGACATGGCACGGAGGGGGCACGGGCACAGAGGGGACATGGCACAGAGGGGACATGGCACGGAGGGGACACGAAGGGGACACGGAGGGGGCACGGGCACAGAGGGGACATGGCACAGAGGGGACATGGCACGGAGGGGACACGGGCACAGAGGGGACATGGCACGGAGGGGACACGGAGGGGGCACGGACGCGCCACGGACGCTCCCTAGCCTGGCCCCGCCCCCCGAGGGGAGGCGTGGCTCTGCCTTCGCCCCGCCCCTTCACGGTGCGATGACGTCACCACCCGCCGCTCCCGATTGGCCCGGCTGGCGCAGGTGACGCCACAGCGTGACGCCATCCCGCCGGCGGGGCCCAGACAAGATGGCGTCGCCCGGCTCCGGCGGCGCTGAGCGGGGCCCGTAGGGACGGCGGGCGGTGACCGCGGGACGGCGGGACAGCGGGGCCGGGGGCCGCAGGTACCGGGCTAGACTGGGGGCACGCAGGGACTGGGTGGGGCAGCGAGGCTGGGGCGCCGCAGGTGTGGGAGGGGACCGCGGGGGCCGCAGGTACTGGGCGGGGGTAGCTGGGGACGGGCCGCGCCCTTTCGTCTTCTCCGGGGTCAGGGACCCGCCGCTCCCGCTCGGTAGAGCCGCTCTGAGGTGCCGGCACTCGGCCCGGGGCTGGACTGGCGGAACAAGGCGGGGTGACGCTCCTGTCCCACGGGCTCCTGCTTTCCAGCAGTTTCCGGGACCGCTGGAGTTAAGGGAATGTCTTTCTGCCTAGTAACCCCGATGAGTGTGCCCTTGATGAGTTTGCTCGGTGTCTGTTGAAATCCGAGCAAGCTGCTGCTGTCCGTGATGTTCGGAAGTGCCTCCTCGCAGTAGTTAAATCGCGAAGAACCAAAACAAACATCTGATTTTCTTTGGGGGTGTGGTGTGTCGAGTCTGCCTTCAGGTAACTTGCTAATTTCTGCCTCTTGTGCTGTGCGAATCACGGTGCTCATCTTCCCTCTACTGCTTGTGACTTTAGAGTTCTGCTAAATCACGGGGTATTCACTCTTTGGCTGCATCTTCCTGTGGGCTAAAGATCTTTATTTCACGGGTTGTAGCCCTACACTTCTCTTTTTGTGCTGATCACTAATTTCTGGATCTTTTCCAGTTAGCTAATCTGCTTTTGACTACATTTTTCTCGGAGTATGAGATCCAAACATCCCATGGATGTATACACTGGTGTAAGAATATTTCAGTTTAGTTGTTTCAACTTCCTGATAATGCTTTGCGATCCCTTTAGCTCGGTGCTTACTAGAAGCAAGACATTCAGTGCGTTTATTTATTAATTTATATTTAGTATAATTCAAGGGCTGTCATCCTGTGTTTTGATAGCTCAGAATTTATCCTACTAAAGGGATAAATTTGTTCTGGTTTTTTGGTTTTGTGGTTTGTTTTTTTTTTTTTTTTAATTAATAAAAGAAATTACAGTAGATGGAAATGAATAGCTGCCTTTTTAACTGTTTTTGCTCCCCACTTCATTAAAAAACCCAACAAGTGAAAAAAACCTCATCATATGGAAATGTTACAACATTGATGTTGTCTCATTAGAGTGGAGATAAGCTGATGGACTCTGGCACTTGGCTGTGGAACTAATATAGCTGACATCCCAGACTCAGTAAAATGAATTCATGTTGGATTTAAGCCCTTTGAGGTCGATATTCCTGCGTGAGTCACTTTGGCAAGTGAGTGTTGCCAAACTAAGGGGCAGCTGGGTTGTGCTTGATGATGTAACTTCAGCGGCTGTGCTGCTGATGGGAGGCTTGCTGCATCCCACAGCCTGTTGAGGGACTAAGAGGTTTTTGTGGGAGCTTGGTGAGGGGGATCTTAGCTGTGATCCAGGGTGTTGAGGGAAAAGAGGAAGTGCTGCAGTTGGCCAGACCTATTCATCACCTTCCCTTATCAGCTTGGGACCTTCTGCCCCTGTGCAGGCACTCCTGCGACGCTGGTTTCCTGGCATTTTTCAGGCAAGAGTGGAGAAAACCTGTTTTGGCTTCCTTCCCTTTTCTCCACGGGGAAAATCCGTGTAGCTGTGCAGCAGGCACGGGCAGTGGGGTGGGCTGAGCCGCTGCCTGTGGCAGCAGCAGGAGGAGTGTTTTGAGGCGTGTGCGGGGTGGTGTTGGGTTACAGCAGCACGCAGAACTGCTGCTCAATGACTTCAGTTTCCTGTACGCACAGAGCTGCAATTCAGAAGTGCCAGTGGTTCTTAAGGTTACCGTTGCCACTGGGTGGCTTAAACCTTTTAGGCAAAAACTTCTAATTCTAAGGGCAGGGAGACGAAAAAGTATGTAATTTCTAAACAGCTTTTGTAAGTTTGTGGGTTTAGTCTCAGAAAAACCTGAAGGTGATGGTCCTTTCCTTGCCTCACCACCTGTACTTGGCCTGCACGTTTGATATCTCCTTTTGGTTTTTGTTTTTCTTTTCCTGTGCATACCCTATAGCACAAAGGAGTCAAGGAAGAAGTTGCTTCTACTAAAGTGCTATTCAAGTGTAAGCTGAAAGAAACAGACATGAAACTTTAAAGGGAAAACCAAAAAACTCTCAGATTTAATGTATGTGAATCAATAAGTGTTAGTTTATCTTTAATGAATAGAACTTAAGTTTTCAGAATATTGACAGAGTGGGTATACTGATCAGCTGGAAGATTTACTGTACAGTTTATGTTGATGGATAGCAAAATCGTTATGGTGAAAAATCATCAAAAACACGTGGAAGAGCTCCATCTCCATTATTCACATGATGTTTTGTTATCCTTGAGACAAAAACCTGTAACTGACAGAATGGAGTCAGGTTTCTGGACCAATCCAGCCTCATCTGTCACACTGTGACAGCTGGAGCTGTTTTGGCTGGTGCTGGTGGCAGAAGTGCTGTAATGACACAGAAGGTGTCACCTTACTCATCCTCCTTTTTAATTTGTGTATGCTTATGGTTTCTTGTTGCTTTCACAAACTCTAGGGATTGATAATTTCGTTGTCCGATTTAGTTAATTGGTAGTTGTTGTCCATATCCAGTCTCTGTATAATCAGTTTTTAACAGCAGTCTGTTCCTGTATTTTACGGTTGATGCTGGGTTGAATATTTTCATAAATTGATCTGTGAGAAATGTAGTTTTTCTTATTTCATAGAACTTCTTTCCAACCTTCTCTGGTGTTTTTGTCTAGCATAATCACTCCCAGTCTCTTCAATCATGAATTCCAGAGTTTCAGCTGTCATTTTACAAGGATCTCTACCTAAAGGCATGATTCTCTGTTTAAAATTGATCAGTGCAATTCCGATCAATGTCAGTGTAAGGAAGATCTAGTGGAGCCATAATTGGAAAGCTCTGAAGCTGTTTGTGAAAACAGTTCTTTGAAGGAAAGGCAAAGAAGGGTTGTTTACAATTTATAAATAGTTTTCTTGTTTGAAAAAGTAGGTCTTCTCGGATGCATCAGAGGTTGGTTTCTCATCCCTGCATTGTGCGTGCTTTTGCTGATAACTGGGAAGGCAAGGCTATTGATCTCGCAGCACACACCACTCTGCTATCGACCCTTGGGATTAGTGCATTTGATCGATACAAGCCTGAGCTCACAGTTGTTGTGTGTTAACTGCTTAGGTAGGTAATCCTCTCTGGTATGCAAGTGCGTTGCTTAATGCTTTGACCCTCTGACTTGGTTTGAATAAGCTCATGTTCTGTGTCCCTAATGACCTTTTGCAGTCAATGTAGTCTTGTGCTGAGGTCTCCATCAGAACCTGAGCACTGGGCTTACCCTCTCTCAAGCTTTTAGATTTATTCAAAATCCTTTCACGTAAGGGCTTTTTTTCTTGAATGTTAAGAAATGTTGTCTTTCCTGTGGATGGGAAACTTTCAAAGGACAGACTCTATGCCCAAACTTGGTTTGGTTTCTATTTTCTTAATTTCTGAAAACTGTAGGGTCTTGCCAGAATCTCTTAAGCTTGCAATGTACTTGAAACAGAATATACAGAATTATGTTGGAAGGGGAATGCAATATCATTGCTCTAATTTAGACTTAAATTTTCCCTTCTAGAACAAAAGCAGATTGGTTCAAAACACCATGCTGCATTAGTAGTATTACAGTTTGTAACTGACTGATCTTGTATTATCTCAGCTGCATTTTGTGTCAGAAACTCTTGCATGAGAGTAACATTTTAAATCAGAAGGAGAGTCCTATCCAAGATGTCCTCAGTTCTTCATCTGCATAAGAGTGCAATTAATGTATTTAGCTGTTGATGGTTGGTATAGGGGGAAGTTATAGTAAAGAGTTGTGAGTTCTTGTCTGGTCTGTTTCTGGAGCTCAGCATTTTTGATAACTGTCTACTAGATTATGTGAAAGATTTTATTTTTAAGCCCCCTTCCTTATGGATATGTTTGTGTTTGCACCATTTGTCATCTCTAGGCTAGCAGCAGAGGAAGCTGTGACTGAAATGGCTGATGAGATTTATTCCCTGGTTTTGGGAAGGTGTGTTTCAAAGGTGCGCCTGTTACCAGTGCTGTGTCATGTTTTAGCCCTGTGCCTAATTCAGACACAGGGAAGCACTTGTGTGTTCAATTTGGTACACCTCATCAATTGTGAGCGCTAAAATAAAACTAGATTCCTGCTTTAACACTCTCCAAAGTACTTGTTTAAACTTTTATGTGTTTCCTTTTGTGGTACAGCAAAGCCACTCTGGGTTCCACCCTAATGACTAATACCATCGTGGTGTTCTTGCATACTACTGTGTCATAATTTGACGTAATGTAGGAGGCACATGTAGCAGGGAAGGGACTCTTGAATAAAATCACTATTAATCATCTGGAATAAAACTGTGTTTGTCATCAAAGATCAGAAAAGCTTTATGCTGCATAGCCTCTGAGAAAAGAATGTGTTCTTGATCTTTTAATTAAGTATTATGTCACCACAAGTCTGTTTGACTTCTTGGTAGAAAACAGGTGAAGGATTATTGAGTTTCATTTTGTTTGCTGTGTTTGCAACAATATACAAAAGAAATGTTTCCAGCAAGTTCCTTTATATTCCTTATTAAGAAGAGGAAAAAAAAAATGTACCTGTAGTTAGAGATTTTATTCTTGCTTGTGGGAGGGAACCTAATACATGTTTTCTGTTTACTTATCTGGAAGAAAGTGCTTAGTAATTTAATGTCTTTTTTGAAAAGAAAATTCAAGAAAAGATAGTAAGATGGCTTGTTGCTTTTAACTAACACTGTTGAATATTTCTGAATTTGTATGCAAAGAGAGCTATCAAACTAAAGTGCGAATATAAAAGTAATACTGTTATGGTCTGTAATCTCATCTATATGAAGGTCTTCAGCTGGAAAAGCCATAATAAATATACCTTAAAAATCCACAGTTGTATTATAAGATGAAAAATAAATTGTGGAGGGCAAAGGTGAAGAAATTGGTTTTGGCATGAATGGCAAGGTGGTCTGAGCTGCTTTTGAAGTTGGAGGTGGACTCTGTTGATCAAATAACTGCTGCTTTTGTGATGCAGTAATGTCACCCTGTTCGTATTGAGCTCCCATATTGCATATGCAGTTACTGTACAGTTCTGAAAGTCTGCCTGTCTCTGGGGATGTTCTGTATGTGTTACAGTATTGGAGATGAACACTCGAAATATATCCATGTTTAGTGCAGGGGATCTGGCTGTACTTTGGATAAATCTGTTCTACCAAGTAATGAAAAGGATTTCTCACTTTCCCTTCATGCTGGGAGAGAAGCTGTGTATCCATTTTATGCCAGTCTTTATTCAAAGCAAATTTCTCCTGTAATTTGATGTTCTTGCAGGAATCGGAATGTGATACTCATGTTCTGTCGTTAGGCAGCGCTGGATTAATTTCCTAAAGTAAGCTGGATTGAATCAGACATATGGATTATGAGGGGCAGGTTGGGACTGATTCTCAGGTGACAGTAGAAAAT